GCTTTGTCTTTGAAGTGAAAGTCAAAACTCAAGAACAAGCAGTGTGGGAAGAGGCAGGCACAGGCATCATGTAGTCCTGCATCTGCCCTATCATACTGTCTGGCCTGAGATGCTTTCCCCCATTCATTTTTGGTAACTGGTGCTCAACTCTTTTGCAGTCTTGAGACCTGACATCTGAGTGCAGAGTGGACAGGGCCACGCAGGATGATCAGCATGTGGTCTTGTTCAGGAGACAAGGCTACCAGGGAATGCTGTGGAATACTACTCTTCCTCAAAAACTGCAGTCACAGTCCTAGTAATGATACTTAAGTGGTCTTAAGTGGGAAGGGATGGAAATAACATGGAGCTGACAAGGCAGAAGGAAGGTTATATACTGCAAGCTTCTAGAAATTACACTGGAAGCCTTACTGGTGAAGTCCTGAAGGCTGGGCCTCTGCCCTGCCTTTGGTCACTGGGTCAGTGTCCAATAGAGTGACTTTCCACTTCCTGTAGAAAGAGGAGATGACATCAACCCCATTATCCAACTTCGTCTTATCCTCAGTTTTATGTCCTGAGTCCAGCCAGCATCACAACACAGTCTATATGTAGAGGACACTGCTGACCTGTGGTTAGCCCAAATAATTTGCCTACAGCTTATCTTTAACGATCAATATTTTAATTCTGAGATGACTCAGCTGGGGCACTGTTTAACCATTATCACAACTTGTGGCATCTGTCTGAATTTTCACATCACTGTCCAGAAAACAGCTTCCACTTTCCCTTCTTCCTACCAACACTTCCTGCCTGGGAGAAGAGGGACAATTAAGGTATCTGTCCAGTTAACAGACCCAGGCTCAATCCATTGCCCTGCCCCTTCAATACCAAAGTGCTTCCCTACACCATGCAGTCTCTGATCTGCACCACAGTCCCCAGGCCACTGCTGAGTGCAACTATTGAGAAGCCATGTGGACTGCACAGCGCAGAAGACAGAGCAGAATCTGAAGTGAGGTGCACAAGGGGATCTGGAAAGACAGACCACACATCCCATCGCAAGCTATGGGATCCGCACTCTCAGGCTGCATGTGCAGTGTGCTGCAGGCACCAAGGCACTAGGGCCTGGATTCACACTTGGAGTCACTGCAGCCAGAACTCACATCGTGGAGTGAGCTCTGTAATTACCCAATTTATCTCTTCATTCCATCCCAGAGAGGAGTGAAGTACTGTATCTTCCCCTCCTCTTTGGAGCCACTTGATGCCTCTTTGGGCATGACACCAGATCCACCCCATACCTTGTGCCCACATTAGCTGAAGTGTTGCCCTTTATGGTGTTGGGCTCCTGGCCAGCCCTCCCACAGCCAGCGGCTGCGCGTGCAGAGGGCCAGCATGTTTGCACACAGCTCTGTTCCATTCATCCTCTCCCAACAGCTGCTCTGGGAGTGATGGGGACAAGCAGATCCTTTTTCAGACCCCCTGGGGATAGTCTTTGCCAGGTCTGTTTTTTCATTGATTTAAGAAATCCAGCTGTAATTATGATCAAGCTACTGAGAAAAGGAGCCCAGGCTATTGACTTGGCTCAGGGCAGGGCTTTTCGCCACTGTGCTCAAATCTGTGCTTGCTTCATTGTAGCCCTTCCTGCACCACCATCACATGCATGATGCAGTCACAGTGCTAGTTTCATCACTTCGCTACACATCGTACAAAGTCCGAAGGTTCTGTGACAAAGGAGACAGAGAAACAATCCTGGTCATTGCCACTCCTCACTGCCACTAACCTCTGCCACACTGACTTTGTCAGGCAGCATTGAATCCCTGATCCTCATTGCCATAATTGGGTCCTGCAAAAAAACAGCCTTGGTCCTCATGGCATTCAGCAATTTGATCTGTTTTCCCAAAGATGTCAGTGTTCCATCAGCTCGGGTTCACTTTAATTTGGATTAAACCCTAAAATCTTACTAATCCTTCCTTGTCAAGCCAGTTTCTCATCCTGTGCCCAGTTCTGCTGACCATGCTGAGAACTTCCAAAGCAGAGACATTTGGGAGCCCTAAACATCTCCAGCTACAACACAGAGTGTCCTCAAGATGAACATTATTGCAGAATCCAAGAGTGGCTTACACCAGACAGAACTTCTGGAGATTGCCTACACTAATCTCCTGCTCAAAACAGAGACATCTAGAGGAAGTTTACCATAGCCTTGTCCAATCATCTTTTGAACATCTCTAAAGACCGACACACACAACCAGCGTTACAAAGTTTGGCCACCATCACCATAAAGCCATTTTTCTTATGTTTAAATGGAATTATCTGCATTTCAGTATGTGCACATTGCCTCTTATCCTGTCACCAAATACAACTGCAAAGACTCTGGCTGAGTTATAGGAAGCTAAGGGAAACAACGAAGTCACATTTCAGCCTCCTTTTTTCCAAACTGGACAAGCCAAAGTCCTCAGCCGCTCCTCACAGGACATTCCTTCCAGCCCTGTCACCAATTTCATCACCCTCTTCTGGGCAAATTTAAGGACCTTCAAAATCCTTCTTTAATTGTAGGGCCTAGTACTGCACCCAGCACTCCAGGTGAGGCTGCACCAATACTGAATGCAGCAGGATAATCCCCTCTCTTGACTGGTTGGTGATGGAGTATATGAGGCACCCCAGGATGGGGTTTGGGCTCAACTCACACTGAGCTGCTGCTGACCAGCCCCCACAGGTCCCTTCCTGCAGGGCTGCTCTCCAGCCACTCCTCTCCCAGTTTATACTACTGCCTGGAAGTATACAAAAGTATAAGATCCACCCTGACCCTTCTCGTCTCCAGGCTGAACACTCCCCAGTTCTCTCAGCCTCTCTCCATATGATGGTTTCCTTCACTAGGCAAGAGCCCTCACTGCTGCAGTGTTGAGGCTTACTTGAATGTGTTTGGCTTCACCCTCATGGGTGCTCTTGGACCTTTCTCAGATTAAAACAGGTCATTATTAGGTGGTATTTTCTTCTCAGTATTCTATACCATAACCAATTCACCATCCAGTCTTCCTATTTTAGATAGTTTATCTTGTTACCTTCTTTAAGACTTTCTTACAGCCTTATACCACAGCCCCACCAGGGTTCTTTTCTGAGCTGTCTCCAATTTTCCAGCTTTCCCTGGGATCTCCCCATGAGATATCAAATACTGATCACTCACTCCTGCTTCCCATGCTCACATTTAGGCCAACATGACTCCAGCCTTTGCTGGAGATTCGACCACCCTGGCTGTCTGCCCCTCTTTAGCTGTGCAAGGAGCCCATTAGATGTTTTGACAGCACAACACGAGGAGAACTCTTGAATGTGTTTCTCCTGTCTGTAAGAAAATGTATTTTGTTTGAATATACCCAACTTACCAAGTTATCCAGATCTCTTTGAGTGGCCTGTTCCTTCTCCTGTTTATCACCCTATTCATTTTTTGTGTCATCTGAAGGGTTTTACCTGCAGTGGCTTTTATTTTCCTTAAAATCATGGTTGAAAATGTTAAATGGTTTTCATTCAACAATTGATCCCTGCAGAAAACAATCAAAATACCCAAAGAGCATTCCAAACTGACAATTATTTCTTCTATCCACTGAAAGTTCTCAATCCACTTAATCTATGTTCTATGTACCTTGCACAATGCATTTTCTGAATCAATACAGCATATCATAATTTTCTTTATATCAATAGGTCAGGTTTTACAAAAACTGTGTACCATAACCCTATGAATTTAGTTTATCAAACACAAATTTATTATAAAATTGAACGCTGAGTGTCGCATTCCAAAAAGCCACATTACTGCTATAATTCTCTAGCATATGTATCAGATTTTCCATTATTTTTCAACGGATAGTTGCCAGCTACCTGGCTTATAGATCCATTGGTCTAAGGGCTCCTCTACTTTAAATACAGGAACTGTGTTGGCACCTTAACATTCCTCTGCTATTACTACAGTAATCAGAGAATAATTAAAGCCGGAGCTCAGCAGGCCAGAGTTGAGCAGCATTTTTTATGATTCAGGGTAATGAAAGATTCTAAGAGATGGAAGTAAGAAGAAGCAGACTTTGTATCTTGAACACAGTGAGCATTCTGTTGGTTGGTAAGGTAAGTTGGGGAGTGGGAAGGAAGGCACAAGGCACAAGTGATGTAGGGAGCAGGAATAGTACAAAATACTAGTACAGAGGTGATGTTGCTGAGAAAGGAATGAGCAAAAAGTGTTCACCAGGTGACAGGTAGTGGAAACGGAATGTTAATTGGGAAGTTAAGTAATGATAAAATGCCAGTGGATGAGAAGAAGCTGGAAAAAAAGAGCTGGAGGTCGGCAAAACACAGGAGTGTGTGCAAGAAGAGGCCTGAGATGAAAGAAAATCTGGGATGCTAGAAAGTGTAGTGCTGGAACACTGCATTTTTAGAAGTTATGAAGCCTCTGAGATTGGAAACCTAGCCGGGGATGTTTCCAGCAAAAGGACCAGATTAAGTGCTGGAAGGGATTACCAACAACATAATTCTGGGGACTGGAGAGAAGTAGAAAAGTAAGAAGGGCACTAACCCCTAATTCTCTCCTTGCTACCCCTTTCCAGAATTAAAATGTGAACCTAAGAAGACATTAGGAGAGGCGTGTGTCTGGGGAAAGGTTGAAGTAGTGATAGGAAACGGGAGAAGAAAAGTCTTCTAGAGGGGTAACCAGGCATCTAAAAGACCATGAAGGACATTGTCTTAGGACCTGAAGGCAGTACAAGGCAGGAGACATACTAGGGCTCATGTCATATAACCTGAATGTCATAACCATTTCACAGCTACCATCCACAGCCACATGCTGGGAGCTCCACAGCACCTCCACTCCACCAGCCTGAAGCCAACTTTCAAGGATCCTGGTGGAGACCCAGGTAGCATTCAGGGATGGCCCCTGCCTTGAACAGTTTGTCCTGAGATAGCTGCATTCTCTGTCATGCTCTCTGCTCCCCGATAGCAAGTGGGTCCCAACAGGCATTTTTATGAGAGAAAAAGAGCCACATACAGAACACAAAAGTACATACTTTGCTCTATTTTGAGACAAGGCAGGTGCTGCAGCCTAGAAAACTCCCTGGAGTTCCTGTGGCCAGGAAATGAGAGGATGCCTCACACATTTCCAAGAGAAAGGAGATGTTTTCAAGTCCTAAGGGAGCACAAGGAGGTGGCACTGGGCAGCACTGAGTCATGGGGTGAGGACCATCAGCTGGGGAAGGAGTTTGACTCTGGCAGCAGCAACAATGCTGCAGAGAAGTTGCTCTGGGTCACCATGGCCTCTCATGTCCAAGCAACTGAGGTGCCCCAAACTACGAAGTCCTTTGCAGGGTGAGACCCTCCTTCACTCCTGCGACACGGGGAGCTGGCTCTTGGACTTCACAGCAATTTCCTCACTGTGCCCATCCTCCAGCCTCCAAGGGCAGTCAATGTAGCTCAGTACCCTACTGACGGGGCCACGCTTGGCAGGATCTAGTGCTAGCAGGCTCCGCAGCATTAGGGCAGCCTCAGCTGTCAGCCGCTTCCAGTGGTGGGGAACGTCCTTCTCTAGGCCTGTCTCCTGCCACAGCATGAAGTCCTCAAAGAAAGGGTCGTCTGGCAGGCTCTGTTCCCAGGGGAAGTATCCAGTCAGCAGGCAGAAAAGCAACACACCGAGGGCCCAGGCATCCATGCTGCTGTCAATGGGCACCCCCTGGGCATCAGTGGTGTTGCTCAGCTCGGGGGCGGTGTAAGGGATCACCCCAGCCACCAGCTTAAGCTTGGTACCCCTGGGCCGCGTGAGGCCAAAGTCAGTCAGTTTGATGAGCCGACAGTCGGGATCAAAAAGCAGCACATTTTCAGGCTTGATGTCACGGTACACCAGCCCCCGGCTGTGGATGAACTCCAGTGCACTCACGAGCTGCTTGGCACAGTGCTTTGCAGCCGGTTCAGGGATCCCATCCTGCACAGGGAGAGACACAGGCAGTATGGCAAATGTCAGGCACTTTGGCAGCCCTGCCGGCTGGGCCCTCACCATCATGCTCTTCACTGGGAAAGACCTTTACCTTTCTCATCTTGCAATCCCAAGGCTGCTTCACTGCTGCAGACCCCAGAGAGACCCATAGCCCATTGCCTTTATCTCCCTCCCTCTGAGCCAGCCAGTCTGCACACTAGCCAAACGTGCAGCCCCAGTCCTCACAGCCTTGTGGCAACACTCACACGGGGCTTGATGATAGAGATGAGGTCTTTGTGCAGTGCTGGTTCATAGAGGAAGCCGTAGTACTGGCTGGACTCAATGGCAATTCCAAACATGCTGATGATGGCAGGGTGGGTGGCGAGGGAGAGCGCCACACAATACTCATACAGGAAGGTGTGCAGCTTGGTACTGGCTTTGGGAAGCAGCTTGAGAGCCATTAGAGTCCCTGGAAATGAGAAGAGTGGGTTAGGCTCCTCTGAAAATCACTCACACCAAGACAAGACAGAGAGGCCACTGAGCAGCCATGGGTCCGGGCACTCACAGCCACAAGGATGTCTCTGATCCAAAGCTCTGTGTGAGTATACCCTGTGGACACCAGGTTTGGGAGCAGGCATTACCACTGGTGTGAGTTTTGAGCCAGTCAGGGCATGCACAGGCATGCCCTTCTTACTTTTCTACTTCTCTCCAGTCCCCAGGGCATGCACTGGGCAGAGCAAGGGACATTCAGGGTATGTGGGCCCATAAGTCTGAGCTGAGACTACTGGGGAAGAGCAATGTTAGGGCCCTGTGGGCACTCAGATGGCCAACCCAGGACCTTCATTCACATCCTCTGTCCATGGGCCTTAGGGCACCACTTCAGCTGAGTCTTGGGGCTTCACTCCCTGCCTGAGCTCTGTGGTGGGACTGCTGGTTTCCAGCCATATCACATCCACGCTGGTGCCTAGCTGTGAACTCTATTGATCCTGACTTGTGCATTGACTTCCCAGCTTGATCTTGGACCTGCCTCATCACCATAACCTTGCCTGACCTTCTAGGCTGCCACCAGGCATCGCCTGCTCCCTGGTTGGGTGTAATTGGATGGTTTCTGGCTGGGGAGGTCCTTGTCCTTCTGGTCTCCCTGGGGATCCCCCCACCATGCCTGGTGCCTGGCCCTAAGGAGTCAGAGCCTACCCCGTGCCCTCAGGAGCAGAGAGGAGACAAAGCACAGTAGTTCACGGGGCGCAGTCATTTCCTTACCTCTCTGCCTGTGGGTCACTAGCATCACGTGGCCATACTTGCCCCTGCCCAGCTCCCGAATAACCTCATAGTGCTCAGTCACCTCGGCGCGCACCAGGCTCTGAGCAGTGATCTCCAGGAGCTCATGCAGCATGGTCGGTGCCACTGTCCCTGACACTGCTGCAGTTGCAGCTGAGCTGTCGGCCATTGCTGAGTGCTGCAGAAACACCACAGTCAGAGTCAGGGACATCACAACATGAACAGAGAAAGCCAGATCGGACATGCAACACAAACCATGCCATGGCAGGGGATATTTCTGCCACTTGGAGCCTGAGCACTCTTGCAGCTGTGCTGGAGTTGAACTTGTACTTTCATTCAGCACAGCTCTGAGCAAAGACCCTCACCATATAAAAGGTCCCTGTACTGAAGGGAAGCTCTTTCAGCCCTCCAATCTTTCTGCCTAATGTTTTGCCTTTCAGGCAAAACATTAACAGAGTCTCAGACTGTCAAGTGTAACCCCTCTTGCTCCCCTTAGCCCACTGAAGCAAGACTTTGTCTCTCTACTCAGAAACCCACCCTTACTCTCAGTGAAGAAAATCCTTGAGGTAGCAGCAGAGACAGACCTGCCTCTTAGGCAAAGATACAGCTGGCATATGAAAAAAAAGGGATTACTAGTCAGAGGCAGTGCTCCAAGGAAGCCAAAGGGAGCTCAGTACCTGACATGCCTGCTGACATTTCTGACTCAAAGTCACTTATCTGTGCAGCCAAGAAACTTAGGCAGGAAGTAAGCTTGGACATCAGTGCCATTTTGAGCTACTGCCAGTTGCTTCAGACCCATTTCAGAGAAATACTTTTTCAGTCCCCCCAGCCAGCTACAATGCAGCATTTTAAGGACCCTGTGGCAGCACTCCCTCCCTGTCTACCTCCCCGACCTCTGAACACAGGCACCTTGGGCCTGGGAATTCCTCCTGGTTTTGGAGCAAGGTGACAGAACCAAAGTCACAGGATGGTCAAGGCCAGAAGGTAGTTCTGGAGATCATCTAGTACAAACTCCTGCTCAGAGGATGATTAACCAGAGCAGGTTGCCTGGGACTGTGTCAAGTCCAGTTTTAAATATCTACAAGGATGGAGACTCCACAACTGCTGTGGGTAATCTGTTTCAGTGTTTGATCACCTTTATGGTAAAAAAGTTTTTTCTTATGCTTAAATAGAAATTCTGTTTCAGGCCCACAGCCTCTTGTCCTGTCACTCAGTATCACCTGATACTGTGATACACCTGGCTGTGTATTTTTGCAGGTATTCATATGCATTGATAAGATGACCTGCTCAAGTCTTCTTCTCTCTTAGCCTCTCCTCCTATGAGCAATATTGCAGTAACTTAACTGTCTTCACAGACTGGATTTGTTCCAGTATGTCCACGTCTCTCTTCTGCTGAGGAGCCCCACTGCTGCTACATCCAGTCATTCTTAAGAATACAGAAATTTAGAAAAATAATTATGTAAATGTAGGAAATCTAGAAGAGGGCTGGATTTGTACAGGAGACTGAGACTATTTGTGGGAAAGTTCCCCTTCCCTTCTCTCCTACACTGCATTACTAAGCCTTATCCAATTCAGAAGTACCAAGTAAATGGCCCTACTTTTCTGCAAAGGCTTTGGCTTGGTGTGAGAGCCAACAGCAGTCCAAGTTAGAACAGTCTGTAGGGAGTACAAAAATGGACAAGTGCCTGCATGGGAGGGGATGAAGGCTGGGCAGAATTCACAGGGACAGACAGTCTGGAAAATATTTTAGAGATTTTGCTTTGATGTCCTCCTGTTGGCTGCCCAGCCAACATGGCTTGTGAAAATCCACACAGCAAGGGCATCACAGAGCCTGCAAACAGACCCATGCTGCTAACAACATCTCCAAACTGGCAATTCTGCATTTTGGTGTTATATAGAGAAAAAAATAGGTGGTATATAAAGAAAATACTTAAAATGTAGTAGATCTGGGAAAGGCATAGACCTCCCATTGACATTAGATAGACTAAAGCCAATTAAATAGGTGGTGGAACAACAGGAGAGATGTCACGTGCAGAACACATTAGATTTATATTTGTGAAAAAAATATCAAAAGATATTTTCTGTGAGACAGTGTTTCTCCTATATCAAATTCATGGTCATATACAAGTTCTTGTCAGCAAATGGTTCATGATCTTCTCAGATAACTTCTCAAACTTGAGTTAGATAAGATTTCTCCCATTGCATGCTGGCCACCTGTTGGTGTTATCTAGCCCAAAGGTTAGAATCTTCTCACTGCATCCACTGTAAGTATTATTCAATAGTTATATACTTTTCAAATACTTATAAATGAATATGTCTTTGTTTACATTGAATTATTTATAACATGATTCATCCATTTCATATGATTCATTACTTCTTTCCTATTTACTATGTGAAAACTTGCTTTCATGAATGGAATGATATGCTTTTCTGCATATTCTTGGTTCTCTCTTCAGGTTTTAGAGTCAAAACATTTCAGTCCATAAGCTTTGGCAATTAAAAAAAAAAATCCATAAACTCCTTGTGTCCTTCTACTCCACAGTTCAAGTAAACTGCAATATAGGTGACACAGATCCATACCTCCATTCCTTGCCCCTCTGGCATGGGAGGGCAAATGGTCTGGGTACAGAGTAGAGCATTCGTGAAACAGCCAGCTTGGAAAAACAGATCAGCCATAGGATATGGGTAGAGTTTCCTGACGGACAGTGACCTGCGTGTCTGATCAGGGCTCCATATGAACGAAGCCCCAGCTGCAGTCACCCCAGAACAGTTTGCAGACTTTGGTCCTTGCTGCCCTTGAAGACATTAATTACAAGACATAGTCCATACTTCAGGAAACCACAACAGTTCTTTCTCTGAGATGCCACTGCCATTAACGAGGAAGATAAGTGAGGGACAAATTTGGGCCACCACTGAATACAGGGTGTCTGGGCGCTCTGCACCTATCTCTGATACCTTCTAAAGTGCCCTTTGCAGAGTGACAAGCACTGAGGAGGAGGTCACCAGGGCCGTGGCCAGGATGCATTCACCATTTGTCTCTGCTATATTGAAGGCAGCAGGCAAAGCCCTATTCAAAACTGTTCTTTCCTCCCCTATACTTTCTGTGCTTCATCCCTGCTAGAGGTCCTGTTTCCAGGCTGTTGACTGTGAGAAACCCTAATTCCTCAAAAGAATCTCTAATTACAGCAGCAAAAAACTCATATCCTTTACACCATCTTGAGATGGTTCTGAGCCACCTGAGAAGCTGAGGACAAGCCTATGGATATACAGTGCCTTAGTCTAAATAATTTTGTTCTGGTTCTTCAACCAAAATTGTTAATATACTTAGTGCAGAAAAACACTTCATACCTGTCAAGAGCCAAAACCAGTGTAATGTCTGTATAACAGATAAAGAGTTATGATGACAGAGTCACAGAGTTGTTTAGGCTGGAAGAGACCTCTTGAGATCATCTGATCCGATTTTCCTATTCAAGCATCATCAGCAGAAGCAGATTGCCTAGGAAGATGTTCAGCCAGGTTTTCAGTATCTCCACAGATGGAGACTCCTGGCAGTGACCACTACTAGGAAGAGTCTGGCTCACTTTTCTTCACTCCCTTTCATCAGGTATTTATACACACCAATAAGATCCCCTCTGAGCATTCTGTTTTTCAAGTTGAAGAGTTTCAGCTGTTTCAGCCTCTCATATCAAAGATGCTCTGTTAAAACTGGCCTTCAGCATATGGCATGTAGGGTCTACTTTCTTGTGTGCCCTCCTACAGAGCTTTAACCCAACCCAAATGACAAACAGCATTTGGGGCATCTCTTACAAAAAGTCATTCAGTCTTGATCCAAAGGCAATTGGTCAATTATAAATGCCAGCATGAATATTCTTGCTGTTACATATTTATATGAGACCCTAATCTGAACTTATCTAACCAGCTGCTGAAGTTTCTCAGATAGAAAAAAGAACCTTTTAATACCTGTTAATTTTTTCTGGACTCTGACAGGATTTATATGCACTGCGATCAGAGGTATAACCACCTATGAGAACATATTTTCAACTAATTACATTGAGTAAAACTATCAGAGTACAGACTGAAACTCAGGCTATGTATTTAACCAACACTTTACTTAGGCTTCACAAACCATCGGGTGCACTGTGTTTCTGCAATGCCCGCATCAGTTAGTTTAAAAACAGGTAAGATGCTTCCAGAAAATGTGATCACATTTTTTATTGAGAATAAACATCTCTATGCTCTACGATCAAGACACCCCTCAGACTTCTTATTGGTTCAGTGCCTTCAAATAACCTTCTGTCTAACTGTCAAACCAAGCTCTCAGGTTGCTCAGCTCAGTTGTCCAGCTCTCAGATCTGTTTTATGGTTCTTCTGTAAAGCCTCACAATTTTTTCCACCCTCCACCCCCTTGTTAAAACCCTGACTGTCTCAGGGGGAATGCCTCCTGTCACACATTCAGCTAGAATTACCCTCTGCCTCATGCTGTGGCCTCAAGATCTCCTTCTGCAGGAACACTACACAAGCTGCGCTACCTTGTACATCTATTATTACTCCAGAGTTTTTCCAGGTTACTGGGGGCTGTTGGGAGAAAAATCCACTTCCTCTTCATGTCCCTTTATGGTGGTTGCCTACCTTGTTTCTACCTGAATACTTCTGCACCACCTTTAATAAAGCACATTTTGCTCGAATGGACTTATTGTACCAAGTAATTCAGATCACTTAGTGTCTCAGTTGTTATGAAAACACCACATTCGTTTCTTCTTAGGGCTGATAAGGACCCTACCTGCAGGCATTTCCCATGAACCTCTAAATTGTTGGTGGGAGTTTGGAGCAGTTCTCATCCTGGTATTGATTCAACAATACCTGCCAGAAACATCCCATTCACTGGTTGTTTCCTGAAAGTTATCTGTACAAATTCACCCTGGCATTGCTCAAAATCAATAACGACACATTTTTAATTAATTAAAAATAAGCCCTATGGAGTGGAAAATATAGTATTTTATTGATGTTCTTACCCTACACAATTAATTTTATTAAATCCCGAGTCTGTTATAAACTCTTCTGTTATAATACTTTTATCTTAATCAATGATCAAGAAGAAAGCACTGAAATCATCCAGGAAATGTTTGCAAGTGGAACAAAAAGGGTTTGGGTAGACAATGCATTGATTGATAAAACTAGTGTGTGCACATACACGCATACCAAAGGGTTTCAAACAACCA